AAAAAAAAAAAAAAAAAAAAAAATGTGCATTTTGTTTTTTAAAAAGAGAAGTTCAGTTTTGAAACACTTTTTAAATGTTCTTAGTTTTCACAAGTTTTTGCTTGAATTCTATTGTAATTTTTTATTTTTTCCCCTTTAAACCAACATAGGTAATATCCTTAAGATTAAAGCTTCAGAAACTTCAAGAAGATGCAGTTGAGGATGATGATTATGATAAAGGTGAGTTTTAATTTGTTTATTGATTTTTTTTCTCATAATGTCCCATTTCTCTTTCCCTCCTTACTCATATCTACCCTTTAAATACCAAATGAGTTGTACACTTTGATCCTCTGATCATCGCCACCAGGGAATAGTTGACTCTTTTACAGCATTATTGTTTTGTGGATTTCAAAGTACTTTATGAACATTAATCCTTTGGGTTATAAATATAACCTTATCAATTGTCCAGAAACACTTAGAGTAGTTGCACAATGAAAATTATATTAGCTTGTCACCTGTCTGCCCATGGTGTGATATATCTGTAATTCACTTGTTCATGAAAAAATATTTGTTGAACACCTATTAAGTGCCAGGTAATATGGGAGGCAATAGGAAAGTAAGACAGACATGGTATCTGCCCTTGTGTCGCCAGTAAACATAAGTCTTCATGGGGCTTTCTGACTTCATAATTTCCAGAATTGGAGATAGAAAATGGGATTTGAGAAATATCAGACTGTGCCAAAGGGGGTCACATGCATCAAATTTCCACATACTTGGCCTAAAATATCCAAGATAAAAAGGAGAAGTTACAACATAAGGCCAGAAAAAAACAACAATTAAAATGAGGCACCAATATAGAAGTTGGGCTGGAAGTGGATGAGAGCTGACATGGGGGTCGAATGGGCACAAGGTAGACTGGGTCAAAGGAAAGCTTTCAGGTGTGGTTGTCCTGGGAACAATCCTGAAAACTTTAGATGCTCAGTGCAAGATCTCACACCCATTTCTGCCGGGTATGGGAAAGAGAAAGGGCTTCAAATGACATCTAGATTTCTCTAGGCATCTACTAACTTGATAGAAACTCCTGGTGTTGATCAAGTTCGGTACATCCAGGATTGATCTGGAAATGGAATTTAAGGATTCTTCTGGAAGCTGGTTAGCCTTAAGGTATGGGTATTCAGCCTTCTTAGTCCATATGATATTGTCGTTGAATATGTCATAGACTGTTGGAATCAGGGCACTATGGGAATAAGATGAGTATTTCCAAAAGGAGGTAGAAAATCCTATTCTAGGAAATACTGTTGCATATTCTCATTACCGATTCGTTGCAGTTGGGTTTAGGAAGTGATGGGGGCATGGGAGGAAGGGAGAAAGGATTGGAGACAGAGGAGGGACTCTTTACATTCTCCCAGTCCTCCTTTTACAGGCCGCTTGATTTCGTAATAACACTGGGTGGAAGATGAGGTGCCTGAGAGAGGAGGCAAGCCGGAGGCAGGGGAAGGCACCCCTCAACCCCAGCATCAGCAGCTTCGACTCGGGCACAGCTGTAGGCAGGGAGGAAATGAGCTATTCCTGGGCCAGGGCTCACCTGCTGGTTTTCGTCTGTGGGAGATAATTACATCTAGCTTTGAAGCTCCCCACTATTGCACAGATTTATTTTTCTTGCCATGGGTCGAGTCATGGTCTCTCTACCTTTAATGACATTGTAACACATAACGCTTACAGCGCAAGTGAAAAACCAGGACAATCAGGCCCTAGTTTGTCCCCCGCCCCTGCTCAGGTCCTGGTGAACTTTCTAGACTTCTCTCAATGGGCTTCATTAAATGGAGACCTCACTTCTTTACAGTCTTTTCTCCAAACATTCTGCAACACCTATGGGAATGGGGTTTGACAGGATACCCCTCATCAGGAAAGCCTAAAGAATATAGGCGTCTTTCTTTAGTGTTTCTGCCCGTTTCTGTTCTTGTTGGCACATCACTACTTACTGCATCAGGAGTTTCAGGGTGGGCTCAGCATTCTGTGTTTCCCAAGCCCTCCCAGTGATTGGGGTGTGTCCTGAGGCTTGAGAAAACATGGGTGCAGAGCTTATACCAGTGAGAGCCAGGACTGGGGGGCAGCAGCCAGCTGAGTCCTGGAAGCAGGGTTGAGTCTGTGGACTGAGTTCTTTCTGATCCACCAGAAATCTGTGCAACAGACAAGCATCCTGGTAGGCACAGGACACACGATTTACATGCCACTCCCCTTGTCTTGTTCCTAATCCCATGAACCCGATTCAGTGTGTTGAGAGGTAAATGTTCTTGTGGAATAGGCACAATGCCTGGCATATAGTAGGCAGACCCTCAGTAAATGTTGTGTGAAGGAATTAATTAATAAATGACTTGCTGCCTGAATGCATGGAGGCTATGGATGGCTAGCTAGAGTGAACAAGGAGAAAGTGCTCTTGCCACCTGTAGGTAGCTCATCTGCAGTGTCCAGGTTAGAGGGTGGGAGTGGGTGAACGGGAAGATCTTTGCATAGAAATTGGCATATGTGAAAAATATCTATTAAGTATATAACAGCACTTCTCAGACTTTAAAGTATCTATGAATAACCTGGGTAGGTAAAAGATTAAAATGCAGATTCTGATTAAGTAGGACTGGGGTGGGGTGGGAGACTCCATTTCTAATTATCTCCCGATGCACATGCTGCTAGCCTATGAGTCACACTTTGAGTAATAATGGCATATAAGAAATCCAAACAATGCCCAAATCTCAAGTACATGTCACGAGGCTCACGACATCCTTAGCACTTACGAAAAATGCCAACACTTAGATCTGCAAACATGCCATGTATAAAGGCATATCAAATGCCGTCCTCCAGTTCTGCACCTCAAGGAGTATGCAGTCCAGGAGGGGGAACTGAGTCATACACAGTAAGAATAATAAACCTATACATAATATCTCCCTTCAAATAAAGACAAGGCAGTCCTAAAGAGGGAGAAATGCCTTCTGCCAGAGCTTGGGGTGGGTGAAGAATTGGCGCAGTGGAGGAGGAGGTGGTTTAGGTAGGTCCTGAAGGGTAGGATCTGATGCAGCTGGCAGGGCATTCCAGCAAAGAGAAGAGGCAAAAGGCACTGTTACCACAAGCCACCATCCCGAAGTCGGGCTTGAAAAGAGGCTTGCAACTGACTCTTGTTTGAAATGGATCACAAAAGGGCTCAGTGCTTGGACTTGTCAGTGATTGATAAGTTATTATAAATTGATCACTAAGTCATTAGAAAAGTTTGGAAGACATAAAGGTAGACAATTTGTTGTTATGAGATTTGTTCAAATAAGATTTGAGTATAATTTCCTCTCATATAGTTAATTGAGGGTGACTATTAAACATTTTAAGAATTGTCGAGGTTTTTTTTTTTATATAGTTTTTGCTTGATTTGCTCCTTTTTCACTGTTAGGAGCAGCTGTGCAGCCCTGCTCTGTCTCAGGGGAAGGGGTCTGCCGGAATCTGAGAGGTTTGCCAGGGGAAACGAGAGGGCAGCCTTCTCTCCCTTGGTTTTTGTTGTTGTTGTTGTTTTTTCTCTCTTTCTTTCCAGTTTCACTCATAAAAATGACTTTGTGTTCTAAAGAAAGAAGCAGTTGGCACAGAATATAGAGTTCCATGTTTTATCTCATCAAAGTGCTGGCAGATTTACCCATTAGTGCCTTGTGGGAAAAACTTCTCAGGGCTCTATGTCTCTCCCTCACTAGGAAAGTAAAGTTAATATTTCTTTATATTCTTGCATAAGGTGGAAGGGCTTGGGAGAAAAAGAATAAAGCTTTTTATTAACAGTATTTGCACAGCATCCTCCTCTGAGAGGTTTCATCAGATTCATTGCATTAATGCCTATCCCATGCTTACGGTCAGCTGAGGCGCAAGTTTGAGACCTCAGGGTCCTGCAGGGAGAGGAATTGTAGTCAGTGCTGGGGATAATGATTCCAGCTCTGATGTGGGCGGGGCAGAGAAAAGGAGGGCGTGGGCAATGAGTTTCCATGTGGTTACTGTTCCAGTTGTCCCTGCACCCGTTTGTGCCCCATAATATCCCCCTGGCTGCTCACGTCTCACGTCCAGCAGTGACCATGCCCACCTCCACTTCCAATGCGAGCAAGGAGAGATTGTGAAGAGGAAGGAACACACTTTTGGGAACTCAGCATTTCAGTGACTTATATCAATGTGATATATAGTGCAGCTGGCCTCACTCTGCTGGTTTAGAATTTCCTTCTTGGAGGAAAAGTAGCCAGCATCGTAGCACTTTCTCAATCTGTTGTCTCCACCCCTCTCCATTATGACACAGTTCTAGTACAATAAACATTTATATACAATGACAGGCATTGAAAGAAAAATGGTCGCAGCAGAGGCCAAGCATAAAAACTCTCTAGGGTGAGACCAGCTTTTGTCTAAATTACCATAATGTCCCTTTTTCTGAATTATGTCTTGAGCAAGATTTCTGTATCCACAGTTCCTCTTCAGTGATGGTGTGCAAATTACCCAACCTGATACCCCTTTCCTTGACAAGGAACCTGCCTTACACCTCCCTGAGGGTTTGATGTCTGAGTGAACTCCAGGAGCCTGGCAGCTGGAACCAGAATCCCTGCTACAGAACCGTCAATGTGACTGAACACAGCAAAACCCCACAGATTACTTTTCCCTGTGTTTCATTCCAGCCTAGAAAGAAGAAAACAAGATTGAATTGCCCGTTTTTATATCCTCAGGACTGCCAGAGTCAATGGGAGGTGGATGCTATTTGGGGGCCCATGGAACATAAATGCCTCTCTTGGCAGCCTGTGTCATTTTGCTTTGTGACTTAAAAAGTGGACTGCAATTGAAATCTTCTTAGAGAGACAGGTCCAGCAAAACTGTCACTTTATAATGTCTGCACAGAAAAAAAGCAAACATGACCACAGGTGCAATTTCCACCTTGAGCTCCCCTGAACAGGTACTTCCCTCCCTCCCTGCACACCAGGACTTTGGAGTGTCCTTGCCTCTGCTCTATAGAGCTCTCCCTCCCTTTCCTGTGAGATCTGCTTGCAATATCACCTTGTCCTGGCATACTAACAAAATCTATTGATTAAAACCCAAATCAACAGCCCAAATCTCAAGTACGTGTCATGAGACTCACTACATCCTTAGTACCTATGAAAAATGCCAGCACTTAGACCTGCAAACACAAATGGGAGCTGCTCAGAGTCACCATTGGTTATGATCTCTGCCCTTAATTTACAGAATGA